AAGGAGGAAACAAAACTGTCACTGTTTGCAGATGACATGATAGTATACATAGAAAATCCTATAAACTCCACCAAAAAACTGCTTGACCTAATAAATGAATTTGGCAAAACAGCAGGATACAAAGTCAATATCCAGAAATCAAAGGCATTTCTGTACACCAACAATGAAATAGCAGAAGCAGAGATCAAAGAAAAAATCCCATTTGAAATAGCAAAAAGAAAAATAAAATATCTAGGAATAAACCTAACCAAAGAGGTAAAAGACCTGTATTCAGAAAACTACATAACACTCAGGAAAGAAATCAAGGAAGACACAAACAAATGGAAACATATACCGTGTTCATGGATTGGAAGCATTAACATCATCAAAATGTCCATACTACCCAAAGCAATTTACACATTCAATGCAATTCCTATTAAAGTACCAATGGCATATTTCTCAGACATAGAACAAACACTTCAAAAATTTATATGGAATCATAAACAACCCCAAATAGCTGCTGCAATTTTGAGAAAGAAGAGTAAAGTAGGAGGAATCACAGTACCCGACACTAAACTATACTACTACAAGGCCACTCTAATCAAAACAGCCTGGTACTGGCATAAAAACAGGCACATAGACCAATGGAACAGAACAGAGAGCCCAGAAATAAACCTAAGTCTCTATGGTCAATTAATATCTGACAAAGGAGGAAGCAACATAAAATGGAGTAAAAATAGCCTCTTCAACAAATGGTGTTGGGAGAACTGGACAGCCACGTGCAAAAAAATGAAACTTGAACATCAACTTACACCATATACAAAAATAAATTCAAGGTGGATAAAAGACTTAAATATAAGCCATGTCACCATTAAAGTCCTAGAGGAGAACGTAGGTAGGAAAATCTCAGGTATCTTACGAAGAGACTTTTTTACTGACTTGTCCCCTAGAGCAAGGGACATAAAGGAAAGCATAAACAAATGGGACCTCATCAAAATTAAAAGCTTCTGCACAGCTAAAGAAAACAGTATCAAAATTAAAAGAGAACCAACTGTATGGGAAAACATATTTGCCAATGATATCTCAGACAAGGGTTTAATCTCCAAAATATATAAAGAACTTACACAACTGCACTCTAAGAAGACAAGGAATCCAATTAAAAAGTGGGCAAAGGACTTGAACAGACACTTCTCCAAGGAGGACCCACAGAAAATCCAAAGACACATGAAACAATGTTCAATATCACTAGCTATCAGAGAGATGCAAATTAAAACCACAATGAGATACCACTTCACACCAGTCAGAATGGCCATCATAAACAAAGCAACAAACAACAAGTGTTGGAGAGGTTGTGGAGAAAAGGGGTCCCTAGTGCACTGTTGGTGGGACTGCAGACTGGTACAACCACTATGGAAAGCAGTATGGAACTTCCTCAAAAAACTAAAAATGGATCTGCCTTTTGATCCTACGATTCCACTGCTAGGACTATATCCTAAGAACACTAAAACACCAATCCAAAGGAACCTGTGCATCCCAATGTTCATAGCAGCACAATTTACAATAGCTAGATGCTAGAAGCAACCAAGATGCCCATCAGTAAATGAATGGATGAAAAAACTATGGTACATTTACACAATGGAATTGTATGCAGCAGAAAGAAAGAAGGAGCTCCTACCCTTTGCCACAGCATGGATGGAGCTGGAAAACATTATGCTAAGCGAAACAAGCCAGGCAGTGAAAGACAAATACCATATGATCTCACTTTTAACAGGAACCTAAACAACAAAACAAAGAAGCAAGCAAAATACAACTAAAGACACTGAAATAGAGGACAGGCTGACAGTGACCACACGGGAGAGTAGAGGGAATTTCAGGGGACATTGGGAAGGGTTCATGGGAACAAACTTAAAGGACACATGGTCAAAAACTAGGGGGAGGGTGGTAATGGGAGGGAAGTGGGGAGGGGTGGGGGGGGGGCTGGACTGTGAGTAAAAAGGAGAAAACTGTATTTGAACAATGATTAAAATAAAATGAAAAAAAAAAGAAAGTAGAAAAAGATTAAAAAAAAATTTTAAATAGCCCTGGCTGGTGTGGCTTATTGGATTAAGCGCTGGCCTGTGAACCAAAGGGTTGCTGGTTGGATTCCCAGTCAGGGCATATGCCTGGATTGCAGGCCAGGTCCCCAGTAGGAGGTGTGTGAGAAGCAACCACACATTGATGTTTCTTTCTTTTTTTTTTAATATGTTGCTTTTCTTGAGTTTTTTCCGTTTGGTTTTTTTTGAAGAGTTAATTTATTTATTTTTAGAGAGGGAAGGGAGAGAGAGAGAGACAGAGACAGACAGACAGACATCAATGTGCAGTAGCTGGGGGCCATGGCCTGCAACCCAGGCATGTGCCCTGACTGGGAATCGAACCTGTGACACTTTAGTTTGCAGCCCGCGCTCAATCCACTGAGCTACAACAGCCAAGGCTGATGTTTCTTTCCTTCTCTTTCTCCCTCCCTTCCCCTTGTCTAAAAAAATAAATAAAATCTTTTAAAAAATTTAAACTAGTCCTTGGATGCAGGATTTTATCTTAAAAGTATTATTCTTTATTAGTCTCACTTCATTAGCACAAAATTACCCTATCACTTTGATCTATAAATAAAGATCAAAGTAGGAAATTGTGTCTGCGTCTTCCAAGATGGTTTAAAAAAAGATGTATTTCAGCTGGTTTGAGAGAATTATTGTTTTCAGGGTATATAATTTCCACTGGGCCATTGTTACATCACATTAGCTTTAATACAATTATTTATTGTTTATAAAGCTGCAGGTCAAAAATGTTGGTAATTTCTGCAATTAGTAGAGAATTTTTAGGGCTTAATTAGACAGTAACATTGATTGTAATATTTTGGAGTTACAAACAAAAATAGCTTATTTATAAAGATACTAAGAAGTATGTCAGGTCTGCTTGAGCTAGTGTAAGGTGAGTTTATAGCCCTGACTGATATGGCTCAGTGGGTTGGGCATTGTTGTGCAAACTGAAAGGCTGTAGGTTCAATTCCCAGTCAGGGCACATGCCTACATTGCAGGCCTGTCACCCCCCCACCCATTAGGGGGCATGCTGGTTTTTACACTCACATCCAAATTGATCATCAAACTTTATTGGCTGCACTTTTTAAAAGTATCTGAACTGACGACTTCTCACTATCTCCACTCATCCACATATTGTTGTTTCTCTCCTGGTCTCTCCTGACTGCTTTCTCTGCTTCTGCTGTTGCCTTCTACACTTTATTCTCTACACGGCAGAGTAAACTTTTTAAAAGATAAAATGTTGCTTCCCTCCACAGGATGCAAAGAAAATCCAAATTCAGTGCCATTGCTTATAAGGTTCTCCAAAGTCAGGAGCCTTGCGGCCTTCCAACAACAACATCATCATCATCATCATCATCATCATCATCATCATCATCATCACCACCATTCCTTGTTTCACTGCATTTCACTCATATTGACTTTCTTGTCCTTTTTAAGCTATATTATGACTATCTTATCTTAGGGTCCTTGGACTTACTGATCACTTTGTTGAGAATATTCTTTCTCCAGATTTTCTTATAATTCCCTTTCTCATTAAATTTGTGTCTTGCTCAAATCTGTCCAAATTGCCTTATGATAAAGAATGTTCCTGACCATGCTATAAAATAGATTATCCTCTACATTTCCTATTCTATTTTACCCTGATTTAGTTTTTTTAATAGCAATTATCACCACTGGAGTCATGTGCTTATTTATTGTCTTCTTCTAGTCACCCTCCATGAGGGAAAGACTTTTTAATTCATGGCTACATTCCTAGCACTTAAAACTGCCAGATACATAGTAATCAATAAATAATTTATACTTCAAATAATATCTTTTTAAAGTTTTAGTTCGATTTTAAAATGAAAAAGTAGGCAAATACATGAATTTTCCTGAAAATAAATCACGTTTCTCTAAATATTGCTTTTTTATTCCTAAGTTTTAGGCTTGTTGGAAAAAAATGAAATATTTTACTCTTGCATATGCTTTAAATTTCAGTTAAAGTATTTGTATCTTATTATCGCATAAAAATACTTATTAGGTAACCTGACATCTTTTTTCTTTTTAAGAACAAAAGTTCCTTTTTACCTGTAACTTATTCCTTGATGATATATTTATTACCAAATTCTTAATTTGTGTTCTCTGTTAAAACTTATAAATTATATAATGCCAAGATCATTGGGCTAATAAAGGAAGAAAAAAATAGAAATAGGGACTTCATTCTTTTCAAACTTTTATAACATTTCAGTATTTTTTAGGTTTCCTGGAAATCCCCTCAGTTAAGAGACTGGTTTTTCCCAGTAGTGTACTCACAACCTCTAAGGGACCACTCATGTTCCTGGCCATATCTGTTATTCTTTCTTTTTGTTCTTTGCTTTTTCTTTAACGTAGGACCTCAGTTTATGCCCCTAACCTCAATTTTCAGTGGATAAAATTTACTTCTATAGGCTAATAAAAAAGGATAGAGAAAATTTAGCATTATGAGAGTAGAGACTAAAATTCAGCTTGAAAATAGGCTTAGCATATACAGTACAGCATATATGATATGTATAACATACTGATATATAGTTGAAATTTATTTTCTTGCACTTAATACAGCTTTTTTCTAATCTCTCGGGAAGACCAATTTTAAGGTTTAATGGTAAAGAAGGATATCATTGGTACAATCGCTACCCATTTTACTCATATTTTTGAAGTGTCATTGTAGTTATTTCCATGGATGGGCTGTGGAGAACTAAACTGCACATCTGAAGCTCTAATGCTACCATGTAGCTGTATGCCATTGGCAGCTGGAGAGTATTATAAATCAGCACTGGCCCATGTTCTCATGCACACTTACATCCACCTCTCTCTGGCTTAGTACTGTAACATTTGTAAACTATTTTGTGGCACACTACTTAATCAGAACTTTTAAAATGGTTGATTTTGATAATTAAGAAATTAATTTGGTTTTATTTTTCTTTTTTTAAGGTGCATGGTGGCTGATGAAGTAAGTATTTTATGACTTTTTGTCAGTTACTTTTAATATATTTTATGGATTATGTTATTACAGTTGTCCCATTTCCCCCGCTTCATTCCCCTCCACCCTGCACACCCTTTCCCAGCCACGTTCCCCCCATTTAGTTCATGTCCATGTGTCATACTTATAAGTTCTTTAGCTTCTACATTTCCCATACTATTCTTGCCCTCCCCCTGTCTATTTTCTACCTACCATTTACACTAATTCTCTGTACTTTTTCCTCCTCTCTCCTCCTCCCACTCCCTTGTTGCTAACCCTCCATGTGATCTCCATTTCTGTAGTTCTGTTCCTGTTCTAGTTGATTGCTTAGTTTGTTTTTTGTTTTAGGTGTGGTTGTTAATAACTGTGAGTTTGATGTCAATTTATTGTTCATATTTTTTATCTTCTTTTTCTTAGATAAGTCCCTTTAACATTTCATATAACAAGGGCTTGGTGATGATGAACTCCTTTAACTTGACCTTATTTGAGAAGCACTTTATCTGCCCTTCCATTCTAAATGATAGCTTTGATGGATAGAGCAATCTTGGATGGAGGTCCTTGCCTTTCATGACTTGGAATACTTCTTGTCAGCCCCTTCTTGCCTATAAGGTCTCTTTTGAGAATCAGCTGACAGTCTGATGGGAACTCCTTTGTAGGTGACTGTCTCCTTATCTCTTGCTGCTTCTAGGATTCTCTCCTTCATTTTAATCTTGGGTAATGTAATTATGATATGCCTTGTTGTGTTCCTCCTTGGGTCCCACTTCTTTGGGATTCTCTGAGCCTCCTGGAGTTCCTGGAGGTCCATTTCCTTTGCCAGATTGGGGAAGTTCCCCTTTATTATTTATTCAAATAACTTTTCCACTTGTTGCTCTTCCTCTTCCCCTTGTGGTACCTCTATAATTCAGATGTTGGAACATTTAAAGGTGTCCTGGAGGTTCCTAAGCCTCTCCTCACTTTTTTGAATTCTCATTTCTTCATTCTTTTCTAACTGGATGTTTCTTTCTTCCTTCTGGTCCACTCCATTGATTTGAGTCCTAGTTTCCTTCCCATTACTGTTATTTCCCTGTGCATTTTCCTTTATTTCACTTAGTGTAGCCTTCATTTTTTCATCTAATTTGTGACCAAATTCCACTAATTCTGTGAGCATCCTGATCACCGTGCTTTGAACTATGCATCTGATAGGTTGGCTATCTCTTGGTCACTTAGTTGTATTTGTTCTGGAGCTTTGATTTGTTCTGTCACTTGGGCCTTTTGTGTGTGTGTGTGTGTGTCTTGACACACCTGTTACATAGTAAGGGGTGGAGCGGAGCCTTAGGTGTTCACCAGGGTAGGGTAACCTACATTGCTGTGTTGTGATGCTGTATGTGGGGGAGGGATCTGAGAGGGAATAATAGCACCTCCTCAGCTCTCTGCTGGATTTCAGTCCCTTCTGCCGCTTCCCAGAAGCAAACTGGGCCTTTCTGTTGCTGACTGATTCTGTGTGGGTGGGCTTGTGTACATTCGTCTCTCCAACGAACTCTCCTGTGAGTCTGGGAGTCTCTCCTCACATCTCAATCCCCACAGGTGTTTTCAACTGGTGTTTTGAGGCTTTATTTCCCTACGCTGTGGCCCTGGGTTGTGTGGTCTGTCTCACTCCCCAGTTACTCCAGGTTTATTTGCGGGCAAATGTGGGCTGCCCCAGTCTGCCAGCCGCCTTGTGCACCACACCCCTCCACAATCCACCTCCTCTCTGGATCTGCCAGCCAAGGCTTTGCTGAACCTTCTCTGCTCAGCCACCCGACTCCATCCCTCTTACCGGTCTGGATGAATGTGTCTATTTTAACTCCTTGGTTGTCGGACTTTCATATAGTTCAATTTTCTGTCAGTACTGATTTTTTTTGTTGTTTCTAAATTTTTGTTGTCCTTATTTTGGTTGTGTGAGGAGGCACCATGGGTCTACCTATGCCTCCATCTTGGCTGGAAGTGTTTTGTCATTTATTTTTAATGTCTACTATTTACCATGTACTCTGTGTTTTTCCATATGACTACTTCTATATATGGAAAGAAGGAGAGGGGAAGAGAGAGGAAGGTGGGGAATGGTGTATAAAGAATAAGAATGAGAATAAATGTGTGTATGTTTATGCATGTGTATGCAAGGTATGTACTTGGAACATGTTATTAATATTAGTGATCCAACATTGTATATTGTTGGCCTGACAAGCATGAATATGCTTTAAAATGTACCCCAAATGAAACTGAATTCTTTTCTGCTTGTCATAGTACTTCTTGCTTACAGGCTAAACTTTTAAGAATTTGCTCTAAATGTTAATTGTTTCCTATAAAACTTAATGCTTAAATGATACTGTATTACCACTAAATAATTTGATACATTTCAGTGGCATGTACTTGTATATTTATGTTTTCTCATTGAAATTGAAATTCTTGTTACATAAATTATGGTACTCTTTACATACATTCTCACAGTAATGTATATCAATAGTTCAAATTTTAACATCAGTTTGAAAAATGTGCAGCTCTTTCCGTGACCCCTTTAAATCGTATAACAACCAAACTTATACTTTTAAAAATATGTTAGAAATAAAGAAAATGAATACTGAATTTTTTAAAAAATGTAAGTGGAAATGGAACCATAAAAGATTCTGTCAATTAACTTTTTTCAGTTTCTGTTATATATAGACTCAGCAATGGTTTATCTCCATAGTCTCTTGTTTAGGAAAAAGATGAATAAGAGTATAGCATGAATATAATGGCTGTGCAAAAGATCGATATAGGTTAATGCTTGATTCATGCTGATATTTAACTACTTAAGTTTTTAGTTTGAACCACTTACTATACTCATATAGGCATTTATTTACACTACTTAGAAACTAGTTAGAAACATAGTCACCACCTGTGAAGGACTTCAACAATATAATTAAAGAGATAGGACATAGGCATTTGGGAAACAACACAAATTTCTATTTTGAAATGGGGGTGAACTCCAAAAGCCTCTTAATAAAATAATAGATTTGAAAGCCCAAAGGGGTGTATGTTTTACTCTCTGAATATGTTTGCACCAAATGTTAATGTAAACTCATCACTCAAAATCTCAAAATTAGCCCTGGCTGCTGTGGCTCTGTGGACTGAGTGCTGGCCTAGGAACCAAGAGATCCCCAGTTTGATTCCCAGTCAGTGCACATGCCTGGGTTGCAGGCCACATCCCTCATTGGGGATATGTGAGAGACAACGAAATCTTTTGCACATTGATGTTTCTCTCCCTCTCTTTTTCCCTCCCTTCCCCTTTCTCTAAGAGTAAAATCTTTTTGAAAAATCTCAAAATTAGGCATAACCATTTTATAGAACATCTATAAATATATATGTGTGTGATACTTGTATGGATGTGTGTATTAATAAATTTTATAAACAGATCAGCTTTTTATTTACAGAAAATATATTTTAAAAGGTAACACCATTTTAATTTTACAAGCAGTTCATGGGGAATGTCTTAGCAGCTATAGCTTATTGCTATCTTGTTTTTCATTTTGATGTCTTAGAGATTTAAATAGGCCTTAAATCTATGAAATCATTCATGAATTGAAATAAACACTTAAGCAGCACCTTAACTCTTCCATTTTCCAGCAAACTCCTATGTTGTCTTCAGTTAACATCAGACTAAAGATTATGAAGAATTCATGACAAATCCTTACCTAGCTAGAGTTTTTTCATACCAATTGCTTTTCCTCAGCACTTGTTATTTGTATCAAATAGCACTTATAACATGTTTAGTGATTTTTGATCTTCCTTCAAAGCGATTCTTATTTCCTCAATACTTAAGAAAACAATTCACCACTTTCTTGTCCATCATAATTCTCCCTTTTCACCAGCATTTTAAAGACTCTCATTCTTTTATATCTATTTGATTTTACAGGGCTTATTATATCAAATTCTGTTAATAAGTTAAGAAAAAATCCTCAACTTTACAAATGAGTACATAAACAGGCTACAAAAATAAACAATATAGGGAGATCCAAGATGGCGGAGGAATAGTGGAAGCTACAGTAACCTCCTCTCAGGAACAACCTGGAATTACAACTAAATTGTAAGGAAACCTTCCACAGGGGAAAATGGAGACAGCTATACTTGAACAACAATAAAAATAAAATGTGAAAAAAAAAATCTTTCTGAATAACCAATTGAATACTAGCTGGAGAGAAGCCTTATAACCAACGACAAACAGAAGAAACTACTTCACTATAATAACAGTTGTAGGGAGTTTCGAGAAGGTATAAGAGGGCTGGCTGGATTCCCACAGGCAGCAGCTGAAGTTCTGGAGGGATATTTCAGTGGCCAGGTGCGTGCGAGGCATCTCCTAAGAAGTGTGTGCTCTAAAACCCAAGCTGGGATTCCAGCCTACAACACCAGAGCCAGAAAGGACCCCAGATAACAATCAGCTGTGAAAAGCAAGAGAGGTTCTGTTTGCCAGAGAGAGACTGCTAGAGATGCTGAGAGTCTCTTAAAGAGCCAATGCACAAAATTCATTTGCAACCATTTACCCTGTTCACCAGCACAGGGAGGGCAGAATGGACTAGAGATGAGTGAGGACAGTCTGGTGTTGGTGGCTTTTGGGAGAAAACTGAGGTAACAGCCACCAGGATCTCTGGCGAGTCACTCCCCATACTGCAAAAGCCATCTGTCTTGGGCAGAGCACTCTTCTCCAAGTGATATCAGCCTGAAGGTAAGCCTCACTCACAGGAATTACTCTGCCCCAACCTGTGGTGTTTAAGCCTGGCTGCTGATTACAGCTTAAGGCTATATTGCAGATTAGTTTAACAACCAAGGTGGCAAATACAAAGAAACAGCCAAAACAGGAAGACAAACAAATAGCCCCCAAATGAAAGATAAAATTCTCCAGAGCAGGAACTGGATGAAATGCAGGCAAGCAATTTATCAGATAGAGAGTTTAAAGTAATAACTATAAGGATACTCAACAGCATGAAAAAAGACATAGGAAC